GAGTACAGTGGCCCGATCATCAATGCTCACTGCAGCCTCAAACTCCAGGACTCAAGCAATTCTTTCACCTCAGCCTCCCAAGTAGCTGAGACTACAGACAAATGACACCATTCTCAGCTAATTTTTAAATTTTTTTGTAGAGGCAGGATCTCGCTGTGTTGACCAGGCTAGTCTCAAACTCCTGGGCTCAAGCAATCCTCCCACCTTTGCCTCCTGAAGTGCTGGTGAAACAGCTCCTCTGTCTGGGGATTTATCTGTGGTTTTGTGTCCCATGCTGAGAAAGAATTCAGGACACCGATACATACGAGGAGTGGGTTTAGGAGCAGAAAGTTTAATAGACAAAGAAGGAGAGAAAGAGAGAGAACTTCCTTATACTGAGAAAGCGGGTCGCCCTAGAGAGGGTCTTTGGTTTGGGGTGGAATGTGATCAATTTTGTACAGAGGCTTGAGGAGGCAGTGATTGATTTACATAGCGCCCAGGGGATTGGTTTGACGAGGTGTGCCATTTTACAGAGGCCACGAAAAGACTGGTACTTCCACCATTGTCTTTTATTATGCAAATTCAGCTTCCACCTGGCAGTTGCCATGACACCAGCACACTTGGTTTTACCTGGATGGTGACATGATGCCCGCACATGTGGTGACGAGGAAAAGGGAGTGGGTACCGCAATATTGGGTGGACCTGGCTCTTAGCCACCTGCATTTACATATGCATATCTATGCCTGCAGCCTGACTTTCCAGGCTGTTTTCTGTTAGACATGATTTGGGGGCTGCTTTTTATTAAAGGAAAATTCCACCAAGCCTTTCTAGCTACCTAAAAATAATTTCTTAATAACTCCTGTATTACTGGGATTATAGGTGTGAGCCACAATACCTAGTCCAAGGTCAGCTTTTATCAGCTTCCAGGAAATGTTATTAAAGGCTTTTCTTTTTTAATGAAGACAGATGTCTGATGCTTTAAAAATGATTTTTTACCCTCAACACTCATTTTTATCAAATGTAAGTTTCTGAAAATGTAAGTTGTTGTTGTTGTTGTTTTGTTTTGTTTTTTTTTAGACAGAGTCTCACTCTGTCCCCCAAGCTGGAGTACAGTTGTGTGATCTTGGCTCACTGCAATCTCCCCCTCCCGGGTTCAAGAGCATCTCCTGCCTCAGCATCCCATGCAGCTGGGACTATAGGCGTGTGCCACCACGCTTGGCTAATTTTTGTATTTTTTTTTTAGTAGAGATGGGTTTCACTACATTGGCCAGGCTGGTCTCAAACTCTTGACCTCAAGTGATCCATCTACCCCCATCTCCCAGAATGCTGGAATTACAGGCATGAGCCACTACATCCAGCCTGAAAATGTAAGATTTTGAGTAAATGTAAGTTACTCAAAAGACTCATAGTTCTCTTCACCCAGGTCCCCAATAATTGGGGAATTGACCAGAATAAACCGTTTCGTTATTTTAGTTCAGACGACCATAGATTTGCCATCCAAAAAGCAAGCTGCCTCCCACCCTCAGCCAGGCACAGTACTAGTTGTATGGCCCAGAGACAACAGCAATAACCCATTCTCCAGCAGTCACCCACCCTAGACATGTCTTTTTACTTGAGCATGCCTACAGAACCAATACAAGCAAGTGCTCAGATGTCTTAGTCCATTTTGTGTTGTTTATACCTGAGGCTGGGTAATTTATAAAGAAAAGAGGTTTATTTGGCTCACAATTCTGCAGACTCTATAAGAAGCATGGTACCAGCATCTGCTTCCGATGAGGGCCCGAGGCTGCGTCCACTCGTGGCAGAAGGCAAAATGAAGCTGGTATGTGCATATCACATGGTGAGAGAGAAAGCAAGAGAGAGCACAGAGGAGGTACTGGGCACTTTCCAGCATCCAGTTCTCATTGGAGCTAAGAGTGAAAATTCATTCATTCCCTTGAGAATGGCATTAGGCCATTCACTGAAATCCGCCCCTGTGATCCAAACACCTCTCACCCGGCCTCACCTTCAACACTGGGACAGGAGTTATTAACTATATCATCAGGGCACTCCAAATTACCAAGTCTTTACATCACTCACTGAATGTTAACTCTGGGATTTCATGGAAGAAAACATGAGAATGATTGAGAGAAAAACAGAGGTGCTGGATTTGGTTTGTATCTGCATGTAACAAAACCACTGACAAGAATGAAATTTCAAAACTTTATTCTTTTAATTCATTGAGTAAAAACAATACTCCAGGAAAATAAACCAAGCAACAAATAGCCTGTGACTGGCCCCAAAGGCTCACACATGCGCCATACCTGGATGTGACAAGCACAGGCCCTGGGAAGTCTGCTATGGTCTGGACATGTGTCTTCCATAGCAGTGCTTAAGACCCTGGAGGAGGTGTGGGGGCTCTTTTCTCCACTACAGCTCCTGCCCCCCCCCCCCCCCCCCCCGTCATTTAGTTACCAGAAAAAAACGACCAGTCTATTAATATTCCAAACATAGTAGCCATAATTAAAATATGTGTCTACTTTGGTGGCTGGGCCTGGGTCCTCTTCCCTTTTCAGCTTTATTTCCCAGCATGAAGGCAGAAGTTGTGCAATCCTAGAGCAGACTTGCTCCTGAGAACAGACAGGGAGAAAAACTGAACCCAGTCATGAGTAGGATCTGGACAAAGATGTCTAAGGATTAGGACCTCAGCCCACATGCAGGCTTAGCCTGCAGCTCAGGGGAATGAACATACTGTACTGGAAGTCTGCCCTGATTATTCTGTGACCTTGGGCGGAATTATGCATGGAATCCATGCCAAGGCATTGTATCAGACCCAAATTATTGGGCCCACCTGCTCCCCATGCCTTGAGCCACTTATGCAATTGAGACACAGCTGCTGCTACCAACACCTCGTCTCCTAACACCACCAGCTGTCCCAGCCTTCACTAGGATGAGATCCAAGCCCTGGCAGGGCCTCCATTGTTCTTGCTGAAGCAGGAGTCGCAGCAGGTCTGGCCATAAGCCGAGGCTGATCATACCCACAAACCTCTGGGCATTCCCACCACCTCCTAAGGCAGGCGAAGCACCACTGCACAGGATCTGGGTTCCTCTGTGGCTGCCTGGAGAAGCTGATGATGCAAGCTGGAAGTGGAGTGATTGTATCCTGGGCAGGACTTCAACCCGTGAGAGACAGAAGGCAGGAAAGAGATAAACTCCTCTCCCTAATGAAATTACCCCAGTGCTTAGTAGTTCCAGGCCAAAAGGACGCATTTTTTGATGGGATTATGGTCAGCCTAGTTAGTGCGCCATCTTTCATTTGTTTCCCCACCTTTCCTGCCTCACCTCCCTTTTCCTCTCACTTTTGCTGCCCTGTGACTGTACCTTCTTCCAATAAAGGGTTAGTATATATATTTTGCCACTTGGCACAGGCTGTTTCCTAAGGAACCCAGGCTAAGACAATCCCCTTTCCTATTCTTATTCTGCACTAATCCCCCACAGGAAAACCTTCGATGTTTCTAATAAGTATCTCCTTGTTTGTATATGTATTTGCAAATTTTTTTGTGTGTATGCATATATTTTTAATATATGTAGGGGTTACTGTGTGATACACTTTATTCCTCATTCTCTTTCTTTTTCAATCATCCCAATGTTTTAAAGATCCATACGTGTTGCTATGTAAACACTGGGTCCAGGTGCTGCCTGGTACTTCATGGCAAGCACTCAGCACATCTTCCCTACCCACTCCCCAGTGATGAACATCAAGATTGTTTCTGAATCCCCCACCTCAAACAATGCTATCCAGCTTAAACGTTATTTGAAACTCTTGGCCATGTGCAGTGGCTCATGCCTGTAATCCCAGCACTTTGGAAGGCCAAGGTGGCCAGGAGTTCAAGACAAGCCTGGCTAACATGGCAAAATTCCGTCTCTACTAAAAATACAAAAATTAGCCAGGTGTTGTGGTGCATGCCTATAATCCCAGCTACTTGGGAGGCCGAGGCAGGAGAATCTCTTGAACCCAGGAGATGGAGGCTGCAGTGAGCTGAGATCACCCTACTGCACTCCAGCCTGGGTGACTGAAAATAAAAAAAAAAGAAACTCTCATTCCACCTGGTGTCAGAAATTAAGCCATAGGCAGTTCCATTTCATATCAGTAAATTCAGAAATTTCTCAGTTAAGTACTGTTTCTTGCCACCCGCCCCCAATACACCCTTTTGTTGGAGTTACCTTGCAGTTGTAAGGGACTTACCGAATGCCAGTGCACAGTAGGAGGATTACCTGTCCGCTCTGGCATCTTCAGGGACGTACACATCTGGTGGTATCAGACTATTATCCATACAGATGGTTACTACATTCTTTCCAGGCTAACTGCAAGGTCCATAGGATCTTCCAGCTTAAAAAAGGTTTTGTTTTGTTTTTTTGAGATGGAGTCTTGCTTTGTTTCCCAGGCTGAAGTACAGTGGCATGATCTCAGCTCACTGCAACCTCTGCGTATTGAGTTCAAGTGATTCTCCTGCCTCAGCCTTCCGAGTAGCAGGGATTACAGGCATGCACCACCACACCCAGCTAATTTTTTTTGTATTTTTAATAGAGACGGGGTTTTGCTGTGTTGGCCAGTCTGGTCTCTAACTCCTGACTTTAGGTGATCCACCCACCTTGGCCTCCCAAAGGACTGGGATTATGGGTGTGAACCACTGTGCCTGGCCTTTTAAAAAGTTTTTTTTAATTTTTGTTTCTGTTTTTTTTTTTTTTTTAAAGATGGGGTTTCACCATCGTGGCCAGGTTTGTATTTTTAAGAGCAATTTTAAGTTCAGAGCAAAATTGAGAGGAAGGTGCAGAGATTTTCTATATACCCCCTACTCACATACATGCATAGCCTCCTGGATTATCAACATCTTCCTCCAGAATGTTATATTTGTTGCAATTAATGAATTTACATTGATGCATCATAATCATCTAAATAATTTATATTAAGGTTCACTCTTGGCATTGTACAGTTTTATGAGTTTTGACAAATGTATAATGACATGTATCTACCATTGTAGATTCATACAGAATTGCATCTGCATGGAACTGCAATGAACTTCTCCATCATCCATCACCATCTTCAGCAAGGTATGGATCTCAGCCTGGTGGTAGAATGTGAAGGTGAGGACCTCATCCAGGTTTCTTCGTTCCTTGGGTGCTCTGTCTTAGCCCTAGAGGCTGCTCCTTATATCTGTAATTGTATTCTTCAGAGTTTTCTTTTCCCTTTGCTAGATAATCACCTCTTACCCATAATACATTTTTATATTAAAATTTCCTTGTTTAAATTATCATGTGGTTTCTGTATCCAGAGTAAACCCTGACCAATACATAGATATACCAATTTGTACTTCTACCTGCAATGTGTGAGAGTTCCAGTTCCTCCACAATTAGTTATTTTAAAGCCTTTGTCTACCAACCACAACATCAGGATGATTTGTGTGTCTTCTTCTATAGTCTGTTTTTTCTCTTATCAGAATGATATTTTCATATCTCTTCACAAGTCTACTTATTTTTTCCATATGTAGACATTGTATGTAACAGGCATAGAGACTCTAGACGATATAATTTACCACACAAAGTGTTCCGTCTTTCTTCTGTTAAGCAGATGGGGGTAAGGAATGATCACATCAGTCCAATGAAGGATTGAAGTGGGTTGGGACTGGGTTTTGGTTTTGGAATCTGTCTATCTCCAGTTTATCTCTGGTTTACCCCTATGCCTGGCATGTGGATTTTGGGTGAGTGCCTTGCCAGGTTTCTGGATCCACAGCCATGAAAGACTGTGAGATTCAGCTCTGGCTTTTCAGAGGTTCCCAGTCCAGCTTCCAGATTCTGTCTCCATGGAGCTTCAAGATCTGGCCAATGTCTTGAGGTGGGAGCTGGCTCTGTGTTTGGGGAAGGCCCTTCCTTCTTGGGAAACTTTCATTTTCTAAGCATTGTGGGACTGTAGAATATTTCTTTTTCTTTTTGAGACAGAGTCTTGCTCTGTTGCTCAGGCTGGAGTGCAGTGGTGCGATGTAGGCTTACGGCAACCTCTACCTCCTGGGTTCAAGGGATTCTCCTGTCTCAGCCTCCTGAGTAGCTAGGACTACAGGTGCGCTACCACGCCCGGCTAATTTTTTGTATTTTTAGTAGAAATGGGGTTTCATCATGTTAGCCAGGATGGTCTCGATCTCCTGATCTCGTGATCTGCCCGTCTTGGCCTCCCAAAATGCTAGGATTACAGGCATGAGCCACTGCGCTTGGCCAAATATTTCAGCCTTTGGTTTTTTTGAGACAGGGTCTTGCTCTGTTGCCCAGGCTGAAGTGCAGTGTTGCAATCAGAGCTCATTGCAGCCTTGACTTCCCCAGCCCAAGTGATTGTCTTGCCTCAGCCTCCCGAGTAGCTAGGACCACAGGTGCACACTACCACGTCTGGCTAAGTTTTATTTTTTTCTTTGTAGAGATGGAGTCTCCCTGTGTTGCCCAGGTTGGTTTTCAACTCCTGAGCTCAAGTGATCCTTCCACCTCAGCCTCCCAAAGTGCTGGGATGACAGGCATGAGCCACTGCATCCAGCCCTATTCTGCTTTTAGATGCATTCCTAGGTGCAGAACTCAGCAAATGTCAGGCTCAGAAAATTGGTGGTGTGTTTAAAGCTCCCATATTCTAATTTGTCATTCTAGCACCTGTGACCACTGAAAGCTTTGCTGGTTTCCCTTTCCTCCATTACATACAGGCCCTCCTGCTATGCAAACTTGATCATTAGCAAGTGCCCCAAACTGACAAATGTCCTGGGGATGGCGGAACAGCTGGGGAGCCTCATCTCATTTTGTTGCAGTAGGAGTGTTAGCCTGCCACAGCCTATTAAATCCTACCTAGAAGAGGAAATCGCCTAGGCTTTTGAAACTCAAAACTGTCCTCTTTAAACTGTTGTCTCTAGCATGTGTTTCAGTATTTTAGATTTGACTTTTTTTTTTTCCTTGACAAATTTCTCCTGCACTATCACTACCCGGAGGCTCTGGGTGTCAAAATACGGAACAATGTTTCTCAAACTGTAGGTTACAATCCATTAATGGGGCACAAAATTGATTTAGTAGGTCGTGCTAACATTAACTTTTGTTTCATGTGTGTGTGTGTTTGTGTGTGTGTGTGTGTGTTCTGGTTTGCAGTGTAAAACCTATTTCTTCCTATAGATTGCAGCCCACAATGTTTAAAAGCCACTGGACTTTAGTTTAAATGGAGTAAGAGCCAAGGGGAGAAAAACAAACATTATCAGAAGCAAACATATTAGCTGAGTATGGACAACTTTTGGAGAAGTTTGGCTGTTAATGGGAAGGAGATTGATTGGAAGCTGCTCTTCTGGCCCCAGATAGCAAGAGTGAGCCCGTGTGAGGAATGAACTGTAAGTAGCAGAGAAGAAAACCTTATGAGGCCTACTTGCTAATGAGGCTGGAGGAGGTGGTGGGTGTGAAGGGCTGTGTTTTAGTCCATACCCCTCCGCTGCTATAACACAATAACATAGACTGGGTAATTTACAAGGAAAAGAGATTTATTTGGCTCACAGTTCTGGAGGCTGGGCAGTTGAAGAGCATGGCATTGGCATCTCGTGAGGGCCCCCCAATGGCAGAACGCAGAAGCTAGGGTGAGACAGAGAGAAAATTGGACCAAACTGATCTTTTCTATCAGGAACCCAATCCCTATGATACTAACCCATTCCCACAACAATGATATTAATCAATTCATGAGGGCAGAGCCTTCATGACCTAATCACCTCTGAAAGGCCCCACCTCTAGCAATTAATTTCAACTTGAGTTTTGGAAGAGACATTCAAACCAGAGCAGGGCAGCAGGGACGGCTAAAGATGAGACGTGGATGGACCTGGACTGGTAAAGTCCATGAAAACTCTGAAAGCAGAGTATAAGATCTTGCCATTACATCATGGGCAGCCCAGGGGAAGACAGGCCTTGTACTTGGCACAGAAGGGTCAGCGGAGGGGATGAATAAGCATGGGTGGTGTGGGCAAGGTTCTTTTGCTAGCCCATGGTTGATGCCTCAGGGTCATTGAAGATCTAATTCCAGCCGCAGGCCTGTAGCTAGAATGAACACTAGTCTCCTATTCACCTTCTCCCTGTTCCACAACACCAAACACACACAACTGACCTGCCCTTCAAAGCCACCTGGCATGGAGTAGGCTTTGTGGTCAGAAGAGCCTGACTCTCATTCTACCAGCTGTGTGAGATTGGGCTTACAGTCTCCTTATATCTAAGACAGGGTTCAGATGACCTTCAGCACAGGATTGCTGGGAGGTGGGCACAGCCATCACTATGTCTGGTGTCAGGCACACTGTGAGTGCTCAGAAGCTCACAGCTACTTTTACCTTTACAGAAAGCACTGAAGCTGGGAGTTCTTTTTTTTTTTTTTGAGACAGAGTTTCACTCTTGTTTCCCAGGCTGGAGTGCAATGGTGCGATCTCAGCCCACTGCAACCTCTGCCTCCTGGGTTCAAGCAATTCTCCTGCCTCAGCCTCCCAAGCAGATGGTATTACAGACATATGCCACCATGCCAGGCTAATTTTGTATTTTTAGTAGAGGTGGGGTTTCGCCATGTTGGTCAGGCTGGTCTCAAACTCCTGACTTCAGGTGATCCACCCACCTTGGCCTCCCAAAGTGCTGGGATTACAGGCGCGAGCCACTGCGCCCAGCCTGAAGTTGGGAGTTCTAGAGGAAAGCTGGGCCACAATGACCTGGTTGACTTCCAGCCCCAAGGTCCCAGGCCTCCAGGTTTGCTGCTGAGCTAGGCCCCAGTTTGGATCGGCTCTGAGGCAGGGCACTCAGCAAGCCTCAGGGCAGAGAGGCAAGTGCAGGACGTGCTGCAGTGGATGAAATGTGTTTGTTTTTTCTGCTCTGGGTTGGCAAGTGGCTGTGACCTTAGCCAGAAATTGGCTCTTGGCCTTGTGGCTGGCCTTGGACCTCTGCGCATTATATTTGGGCCTGAGCCCTGCCTGGGTTTTTGGCTAGGAGTCTGGCCTTCTGCCATGCCTCAGACACACCTGATCAGCCAGGCAGATCTGCCAGGGATTTTGGAGACTTCAGCTCAATCATGCTTCGGCATGTAAGATTTTCTCCTTGCCTTCTCAGCCTAGCTAATTGTTATTTGTCCTTCCCAGATGTGGCTCAGTCATCAGCTCTCACAGAAGTCCTTCCCTTGGCATTTGCCTCCTCCCCATATTGGGTCAGGTGCCCTTCCTCTGGTCTCCTACAGGCACTTTGCTTCTCTTTTCTACACCACTTGCCCCTCAGTTGACACTCAGCTTGCTTATAGGCGGTTCTCTGCCCCAGCGCCCAGTACTCAGTAGATGCTCTGGCAGTGTTTACTGGATGAATGAAGCTTTTCTGCTCAGTGGCTCTGTTTTCTAAGCCCTCATTTCCCGGAACCACAACTGTATTTCAAGGTTCAAAGAGCAGAGGAGGCAGCTCAAATGGAACAGCCCATCCCCAATCACAATCTGCAAGATTTTTTTTTTTTTTTTTGAGAGGGAGTTTTGCTCTGTTACTGAGGCTGGAGTGCAGCGATGCGATCTCAGCTTATTGCAACCTCTGCCTTCCGAGTTTAAGCAATTCTTCCTGCCTCAGCCTCCCGAGTATCTGGGATTACAGGCATCCACCACCATGCCTGGCTAATTTTTCTATTTTTTTTTTTTTTTTTTTAGTAGAGACAAGGTTTCACCATGTTGACCAGGCTGGTCTCAAACTTCTGACCTCAGGTGATCGGCCCGCCCCGGCCTCCCAAAGTGCCACAATCTGCAAGATTTAATCTCACCATTAGAGAATTGCAGGTAGGTCAAGCACTGTCTCACATTTGTAATCCCAGCACTTTGGGAGCCCCAGGTAAGTAGATCGCTTGAGTCCCAGGAGTTTGAGACCAGCCTCGGCAACATGGCGAAACCCCATCTCTACAAAAATACAAAAATTAGCCAGTCATGGTGTGCACATGTAGTAGTAGTCCCAGCTACTCAGGGGGCTGAGGAAAGAAGAGGTCTTGAGCCTGGGAGGTCGAGGCTGCAGTGAGCTATGATCACATCACTGCATTACAGTGTGGGTGACAGAGCCAGACCCTATCTCAAAAAAAAAAAAAAAAAAAAAATGAGAGAGAGAATCCCAGGTACCTGGGTATGACTATTACCTGTTTAATTTCCATTTCTGAGGAGAGGTTTATTACAGATATGTGTATGAAAGCAGTATAAAGACACTGCTTTGACTCTTACGTAGATGTTGTCTCAGCTCAAGCTGAGGGCAATGGGTCAGTGTCCTGTGCCAGTCAGGGCCCAAGAGAGGACATCTCTTAACATGGGGAGCCCATGAGGGGATGACAGACCACCAGGATGCACAGATCCCTGCCTGCCTTCCCAAGTTCTATGGTAAATGGAGGGGGTCGAGGGAGTCAGGTTCTGGGGCAAGACCAGCCAGTCGAAGTACTGTAAACTACTGTCCCTCAAGCCTTCTCCCCAACCAGGTCTTTTACTCCCTACTGCTAAGGAAAGATACTCTTGATGGCACCCAACCTGCTGTCCCCTTTCCTGGGGACTCTTGGAGTCTACAGAGCCTTTGGAGCAGCAGTGGGAATGGAGGCACAGGGGGTGCACAGCAGCTCTCTACAAATGGCTGCATGGGTGGCTGAAATGCCAACGGAAGCCTGCGTGGGATTGAGAGCTTCAGCATGGCAGACAGGGTCAGCAGTGCTGTGAGGCTCCCTTAGGCCTGGGGCAAACCTGGGAAGGGAGTGGGTTCCCTGGATATGTAAAGCTGGTTCTAAGTCACTGAGGTCCACCCACAGAAAGAATGTCCTCAGAATTGATGCTGACAATCAAAACCACAATGAGATGCCACTTCGCCCTCAATAGGATGGCTGCAATGAAAAAAGACACACAATGACAAGCGTTTGCAAGGATGTGGAGATATTGGAACCCTCATACGTTGTTGGTGGGAATGTAAAATGGTGCAACTGCTTTGGAAAACGGTTTGGCAGTTCCTTCGAAAGTTAAAGATAGAGTTAACATATGATCCAGCAATTCCACTCTTAAGCATATACCCAAGGGAAAGAAGAACATATGTTCATATACAAATACTTGTATATGAATATTCACAGCAGCTTTATTCACAGTAGCCCCAAAACAGAAACCTATATATTCATCAAGTGATGCATAGATAAACAAAAGGTATAGACATACAGTGAAATATTACTCAGCCACAGAAAGGAATGAAGTATTGCCATATGTTACATCATGAATAGATCATTAAACATTGTTTAATGAAAGAAGCAAGTCACAAAAGGCCACATGTTGTGTGATTCCATTTATAGAAAATGTCCTGAATAGGCAAAGAGATTGAAAGTAGATTAGTGGTTCCCAGAGGCAGGGGGAGGGGTGAAGGAGGAGTGACTGCTAACAGGCAGTTTATTTATTTTGCGGGGTTAGGGGGGTAGGGGGAGTGGGGAGGGGGGGAAGTTTGTTTTTTGCAGGGGGGGCACCCTGGGGAATAGGAAGTGGTGTAAATGTTCTGGAATTAGCTCATGGTTATGGTTGCACAACTTTGTGAATATGCTAAACGCCACTGA